CCCCAAAACCCCAAAACCCCATGTTAAAAATTTTCTAAAATCAACAAAATCGAACTTCGAATGATATTTTTAATTAATCTTCGAATATTTGTCCAAGTTATTTGATTATTATAATTTATTTATTTCCAATGTTTTTAGATAGTAATGCAGATGAAGCTGGGTTTCAAAGAGATAAAGCCTTTGATGATAAGTGCGCCAAAAATAGTCTAGAGAATGTAAAAGGCACAAAATCTACTTTTAGATTGTACACATAGGAAGGAATTATATGCATTGCAACTGCAGCAGCTGGATTTAACTGGGAATATTAGTAATAGTCTGAATTTTGGGTACTAAAAGCTCTTGATAAATCTCTTTTTGGAGAAAAAGTATATAAGTGTATAAATGTCTGGTGGTTTAATCCAAAATGGGTGGTAGAAAAAATTCCACCTGGCATTTATCACGTCTATATACGCCAAGGGAACAGTAATATAGATCCAGAGTGCCGATTTTCTCAATTCAAAGGTGTAGGATTCAAAGGAAAAATAGTCAGTGTCAAATTTTTAAAGCACTACATACCCTTTAGGGAAAACCAACATCGTCTAATAAATACCTATGTTGCAACTCTTGACCTTTCAGAGGTAGATGAATTAACAAATATCTAGTTCGAACTATTTAGATCAGATATTCGAGTGAGCAATTATCTTATTGAAGGATTAATTCTTGTGCCTGTATAATCTCTTGAATAGCCTCCGACCTTTTTCCTAAAATTGTTGACTGACGATGATTTGAAAGAAGTAAAATGGGAATTAAGAGTTGAAGAACCATAGTTTGTAATACCTATTACTAATGAAAATGTAGAGAATTTTTTATAGCGATAACCCACACAGAAATTAGACGATATGTTTGCTGAAGAAAGTGATAGTGAGGTTGTAGAAAGATTAAAGACAACTTATTAAGAAATTTGGGAGAAATATGATATCAATAGAAACAATTATCTGGACAGATAAGAATTTAAAAATTGTATGACTGATTAATTTAAAAAAATAAAGTATCCAACTGATGAAAAGAAGTTGGATTAGTTCTTTAATAAGTCTGATACTTACTAGACAGGGCAACTAACTTAATAATAAATGCATTGGCTATTGATTTAAATAGTCAGAATATAAATTTAATTAGAGGAATAAGAAAAAAAGTAAGAAATAATCAGAAAAAAAGAAAAAGAACTTCAAGCTTAGAATGACAATGCAAAAACATTAGAAGATCTATTTGAAAAAGGAAAAATTACAATAAAGGGAAGTCTCTAAGTAAAAAGTGAAGGTAAATCACTTCCTGATAATATGCATGCTGTTGAAAATTTGATTTAAAAAGAAGGAAAATGGAGAATCGAGGATTGTGATAAAGCTACCATTATCCTTAAACTTGAGGAAGAAATTGAATTTATGGTAGTTGGAGTTAAAAGTGCTAACGACTCTTCTAGATTGGATCCTGCTATGATTGAAATCTCAATTTTAAAAGAAGATTAATATGAGGTTATTGTATCAAAAGATGATCTGATGTTTGATCAAAGATTTTAAAATAGATTGTTCAAACCTAATGAAAATGGTCTGATGACGAAAGAAATAAAGATTAATCTATAATCAAGAACTGAAAATGGATTGCAATTATCAGAAATTTTACTTTATAATAAAGTAGCAGCCTGATGTAGATAAAATATATTTTTAAAAATTAATTATAGTCAAATTGAGGACTTCTTCTCTAAAATCATAGTATAGGGGTTTTGGGGTTTTGGGG